TCTTTCATTTTAACTATTAATAAAAGTATTTTCAAAACTGTCCTTTTTGCTGGATTCAGACTCCTGCTAAGAACCATGTATGTCGTTGCAGTAAACGTGCCTTCACAACGAGTTTCAACTTAACCATAACCTCAATTACATAAATCAACAAAGATTAACCTTTACAAACTTAAATTCCATGAATTCTTTAGTTGTGTACCTATGAGGATAATTTGATTTTGATTTTGATTTTGGATCTGCATTTGGCCTCTGTTAATAATGTTCAGTACTTTTCAGGATATGATCCTTCTTAGTTCGTACACACCTTCTCGACGCGTGGCATTTGCCTTCGCCTTCGCCTTCGCCTGTGGGACACTCCTATTTCTGTCCTCTGGCTCTCGCAGCAAGTTCCAACCTGGTTTTTACAAATCAATGGATATTAAAATTATTCATGCTTATTAAAATCTCCAGACCATTTTTTACCAATTAATTAATGACTTGTTTCATGTTAGTTAACAAATAATAATATACATTTCTTGCTTAACGAAGGAAAAATAAATTTTGATATATTGTTAGCAAAAGTATATCTTTAATTTCTAACTTTTTTATCTTTTAATTTTTAAAAAATTTATATTAATCATTCCACAACAGTTCATATATACACATCCCTTCTCTCACGCTACCCTAGAACATTGGGTCCTTCACATAATTTCATCATCTCACAGTCGTCTTTTTTTACCATTAACCCGAGCACTTACACATTACTTACAATACTTCTATTTCAGTTATCAACGTATAATATTCCCTCCACACAACGCATGGAAACCCATTCATTATTTTTAACTGTACGTGCTATTACTATGTCAAGCATCTAACCTCCATAATTTATTCAATATAGCGTCAAGTACACCGCAACAACAATTATATATAACAATGGAGGACGAGAAAAATGAAGAAAAAAGTGTAAAATAAAATAAATAATGTGATAAAAAACATTATAAAAATTGATTGTTAGAACAACATTACTCTTCTTAGTCAATTAATATGTTGATGTGCATTGTATTAGAACAAATGAGAGAAGATAATTAAAGAAAGTAACCCATAAAATAACTTTAAGACGTGAATAACTACTTCTATTATATATGCTTAAATTTTGTCTCTACACATTTTAAAATTTTAGGTGTAACTTGAGGAAATGATAAATTATCGTTACGATAAAATAAAAATACTTATGGTTTGTACTTTTCAAGATATTGTTCAGGGTACTAATTAAATTTGTAATTAAGGTATCAAGACAACAAAGATTTTCTTGGGGCTCTTTTTCTAAGAGTATGTTTAGGTGTGTTTTCTTTTTTAAATAAGGATATTTTTAACACAATTTTTTAAATAATAAATAAAAATAACATAAACACAAAATCTTAATTAATTAATTTTATAAATTATGTAATTTTTTAAAAAAATGAAAATTATTTCACCATCCTGATTTTCTTCAAACTGTTACTTTTACACCTATTTTAAAGGCGTAAATATGTTTCCAATATTTATATTTTTGTGAATTTTTTATTGTAGTTTCTCTAAAAAAAATTTATTGATCCCTATATTATTGTTTTTGTATTCTCTCGCTAAAGCATAATTAATTAAAAGATTGTCATATATTAATTTCATATAGAACAACGTCAATAAAATGACCAAAATGAAAAGATTCTTAAAAATATAAAAACTAAAAAAATTACACAATATAAGAAGCAAATCAATGTAGGCAACACCCGGTACTTGCGGGGTTATAAATGGGAGCACCTACTAGGCATAGAAGATTGGGTGAAAGGTTACATTGCAATAAGTTGGATACAATATCATATCCATTAGCAACTTGGGGATTTGTAGTACGGAATGTCAACAATGGCAAACCAAAGCATTGAAGCAATAGCTGCATCTTTCATATGAAATGTGCACACCCACACTTTTGAAGCAACTTGGCCTAGCCATGTCAAGGACCATCCTTGGTGAGACCCAGGTCAACAACTCCAACATTTACACCAATAAGCCATCCTCTTTGACGAAAGAACGATAAAGTATGACCAAAGAGTCATAAATATGTTGACTTTTATGACATATATATCTAATAAGCCATGTTACTTTGCTATAAAAGGGAAACTATGGATACAGTAATGCACACATCAACACCAATGGCTTCTTCTTCTACCATCCAGTTCTTTATTTTCACGATAACCCTTTTCTCAGTTTCATGCTTATCAGCATCAAATGCTCCAAACTCCAAACCACACCCCTATATCCTTCCCATTAAGAAAGACCCAGTAACCAAAATGTTCTACGCTTCAGTTGGCATAGGAAGTCCACGACACAACTTTGATGTAGTCATTGATCTTGCAGGAGAAAATCTCTGGTACGATTGTGGCAAAAGCTACAACTCATCATCCTATAGTCCAATCAGTTGTGATTCTCATGCATGCCCTAGAAGTACTAATGCATGTGGTACATGCTATGGCCCTTTCAAGACCGGTTGCACAAATAATACCTGTGGTACTAACAATTACAACCCTTTAGCTCAAATCATTTTCCCTGGGGACTTGGGTGAGGATGTCATATTCATTTCTCAAATTCAAGTGCCAAGCTTCTTTTCTGGCTGCACGAACTCACGTGCACACTATGGTGATGGACTTTTAGAAGGTTTACCCAAAAGTAGCAAAGGTATGATAGGCCTTGCAAGGTCACAACTTGCATTTCCAACTCAGCTTGCATTGTTAAAGAAACTCCCTCCCAAGTTCTCCCTTTGTTTAACCTTCTTCTAACAACTTAGGATTCGCTAACTTACTTATTGGACCTGAGGGACATCCTCAGGATCTGTCCAAATATGTTCAAACCACTCCTCTTGTTATCCACCCCTTTGACACAGGTCCGGTGTTTGAGGAGGGTGTTCCATCTACAGAATACTTTATTGATGTGAAATCCATTAAAATTGATGGCCAAGTTGTGAACTTAAAGCCTTCTCTTCTGTCCATTGATAGTAAGGGAAACGGGGGGGGTACCAAAATTAGCACCATAACTCGTTTTGCTGAATTGCAAAGTTTTGTCTACAAGCCTTTTGTTCTAGATTTCCTTAAGAAGGCTAAGGATAGAAGACTAAAGAGAGTGGCATCAGTGCCACCATTTGAGGCATGTTTCGATTCAAGAAGCATTGGCAATTCTATAACTGGACTTGCGGTGCCAACTATTGATCTAGTGCTACAAGGGGGTGTGCAATGGACTATTCATGGAGCCAATTCCATGGTACTGGCTAAAAAAAATGTAGCATGCCTTGCGTTTGTTGATGGAGGGACCGTAGCAACAATGTCGTTTTATAAAGCCTCAATTCTTATTGGTGCGCATCAATTGGAGCAAAATCTTTTGGTGTTTGATCTGGCTTCCTCCAAATTAAGCTTCAGCTCCTCGCTTTTGCTCCACAATGCCACTTGTAAATCCCACTTTTGAATATTATAGGCTCCAAGTTCTCGCATTTAAATTTGTCATGGTGAATAATTAAGTTTGCTTTATTTTATACAGAAAGGTCATTGTTGTTTTATTGTGTACGTATTTGTGGTAGGCCAATTTATGTTTACACCATATTGTTTTTTATTCGAGGCAGAGCTTAAGCCAAAAAAAAATGTAATTTTAAGCTTAATTTCTTTGAATAATTATATTTGATAGCATCCGATATCATATTATATCTAAATATTTTGAAAAAAAAAAAAACCAAGTCGCTTTTCCGACCGTAAATGCAAACTCTACTTTGCAACTAAAAGTTTGTCATATAAATGATGCAATCGGCAAATCACTTGGAAGTCTAAAAGAGTATTAAATAAAATGGAAATACATCAATTAAATAGTAAACTCTTATATGTAAGCTATCAGAATATATTACAAGTTACAATATTTCTCGTCCTCCTCTTTGCGTACAGCGATGATACAGTGTTACTTAGTTTGAGGAAAAGAATTACAGCTGCATAAAGCAATGCGGGATTCAGCAGTCTCATATTGTTAAACATTCGTTGGTCTTAAATATGTTTTTTATGTCTTAAAATATACCACATTTTAATTTTGCTTTCAAAAAACTTATTTTTTATTTTATTTTTTCAAATTTTTAATTTTAATCTTTTTATTAATGTGATTTCAAAAAGTAAAACAAAATAAAATAACAGGTAATGAAAAAAATAATGAGTAACATTTATGTTAACTAGATTGTTTAACAGTAATTAAGAACTAAAATTAACTATTCTAAAAATATAAAAATAATTTTATAAAGTTAAAATTTAATAAATTTTCAGGAAAAATAATCCAATTCGTATTTGGTTATGTTTTAAATTTATTTAAATGTGAATTATAAGTTATAGTTTTCTACATTAAAAATTTTAACGTGATTTTATTAAGTCTTGAAAGATAAGTTACTTCTATTTTGAAACTATAAAAAAAAAATCACTTTTATTCAGTTTCTCTAAGTATTCTCAGGATAGAAAATAAAAATAAAAATCAAAATTTTCTCAAAAATATTAATTTATGAACTTCGATTGTTGTACAAACTTTCTCATCTAATTTTTTTAAGAAATTGACATGCATCTGTTAATTTTGTCTAATGAAAATAAATTATTTAATCACTTTATTGTTTTTAAAGTGTTAACCTTTGTCTTAATATTATTATTACACTTGTTTATCAACATAACGGAAATTCTACCTATACTCAATTGGGATAGTAAAAAAATGTGGTTCCAATTTTAAACTATATTTTAAAGTTGTGTATATATAAAAGTATATATAATATTAAGTTCTTTCGTTGAAGTAATAAATATAATCGCTTGATGTTTCGAAACAGCTATGCTGCTCGCTCAGCCTGATTATCCAAGCGCCCATTGTTATTTCTGTTGAGTCAACTTTTTATCTGTCACTGAAAAGTACGGTCTCTTCTTTGAAATCACCTCCTCTAAAGTAATTAATTTTATGAATATAATATAATCTATTTTTGTCAAATTTTACGGAGATAATATCAATGTCAGAATTCAGCACAAAATTATATTCCGACAGCAAAAAATAAATTTGTATCAAATTAATTTCAACATTGAAAATTGAATTACCAAGCGTAACAAGCTTGAAATATATAACCTATGCCACCGACAACATAGCAAGCTTATTTGAATTGACCATCAAAGGAAAAGAATGGTTTCAGTCCAGAAGCCTTATTTTGTGGCGAAAAGTAAATATCATGTTTCTGTACTCCTTAACCAGACAGCATCGTGAACGAATAAAAAGAAATATTCTTTGCGCCACATCTTTTGTTTTTTGGGATAAAACAGTGTGCGGTATTACTGTATCTTAACTTTGCCTTATAATGGATATGCTTTTCGCATTATCAATATTCCACAACGAATTCCATTTCTCATCAAAACAGACCAAATAAGAAAAATAAAATAAAATAGTCAATCACACGCTTCCAATGGGGTAACTCAACAGATTTCAATTTTCCTTACAGTGGAAGAAGGATTCCCAATATCAAAATTAAACATTGAACCAAAAATGCCAACGCCATAAGCAGTGGTATACACATACCGCGAGGGAGTCAAAAAAAAGGAAAAAAGATTATTACAAAACCTATTAAACTCTTCAGATCTCACCTTAATCTAAGAAAACTATGTGGTATGGGTAATCATTTATCACAAGATGAGGGTCAAACTCATACAGACTGTGCAGCCATGGAACCGGGTTTGAAATCAGAACAACTAATTTGCCTCATCAAAAGTGAAGAGCTAAATCCCACCATGGAAGTATCTAAATCAAACTGCACCAACACATCCTCCAATTGATACCCTCCAATCACAATGGGATTTCTAGGGTTCAAACCTCCATCCAAGAACCCCAAACACATAACATCGTCGCTAACCCGCACCATGGAGTTTCTTCCATGTATGCTCCACTTTACCATCTCACTCTGCAACACCAACTCAATAACCGGCACCTTTGGCCCAACCTGAGAGCTCCCAACACCGTTGGAGCTGAAACAAAGCCCAAAGGGTGCCACTGGATCCACTCTGGTGATGTTCATAGACGATGCAGCCTTCAAATACGCACTCTCGAAGTTAGAATAGATGGAACTCTGGAGAGTGGTGTAAGGCAAAACCGTGCTCAATTGAGTCATTCCGTTACCCTCTTGTGACAATGATGGGGTGTTGAAAGACACCTTTTTTCCGTTGATTTTGATGGAATTAACGTTGATAGAAGGGTATGTCTGGTCTTGGTCGGCGACGAGGGGTGTGAACGTTAGAGATCTGAGGATTTCAGAGCCAGGTTGAGATTCATGGGGCGTTTTGCCAAATAGGACAACCCCAGAAGAAGGAGAGAGGCAAAGAGTGATTTTTCTTTGGGCGGTGAGTGAATGGAAAACCTGTGAAGAAAAAGAAGTGCGAGATCTACCCAGACCCACCATGCCTCTAGCACCAGCTGCTAACCCGTTCAACAGTAGAGTTGGTGAACATGTGAAGAGCGTTTGCAAAGTGGGTTCAATCTTGTTGTCCGTTGATTTCAAAGCCACGAGATCTTCGACTAGCTCTCCTTCTGTGACCCTTTTCCCTGTAAAACTGTTCTCTGCAGGAACTTGACATGGCTGGTCCTGATCTGCAGGGTTTGCAAGGCTTTGAAGCCACGTTTGGGTCTCAATTTCAGGGCTTTGCGCCGTGAGGCATTGGACAGAGCGGAGAAAAACGGTGGTGAGAGAAGAAGAAGGGGTGGTTCGGGAGGCACAATCAACCCAGAGGAGTGAACCTCCAAGATCAAGCACGAGCTTGGTGGGCACAAGAGGAGTGCCGTAGGAGAGAGTTGTCAGGTACTGAAGCGTTGCATCGTCTTTTGTCAAAGGGAGGGTGAGAGAAATTGCGGAGGTTTGAGCGTAACAGAGATTGAGAAGAAGGAAGAGAAGGGAGAAAGAGAGGGAAGAGGAAGCCATGGGAGAGAGTAGTTGGCAGTTGAAATGAAAGGAGGGTGTGTCGGCGGTGGGTCGCCGCGGCTGCCTTGAAATATGGTTTGGTTTGGATTGGATTGGGGGTTGAGTTGGATAAGGCCCAGGAATTAAGAATATATGAGAGTCCACTCTCCACTTTTGGTTTTGCTGACTAGATGACACTCTGCGTGCTTATCTTCTCTTCTTCTCTCTCCTTGCAATTGTGAGCATGTGAAGGCCAATGCTCTGTTTTGTTGGTGGGTCACGCGCTATTCTGCCATTTCTTTTTAGCTACAAACTGCCAAATCTTTTTTATTGGTCATGCTTTTTTTAATTCTTTCTTAATCAAGTATTATATTTTATTACATCGAACAAAACTATTTTCTAATTTTCAATTTTTAATTTTTTTAACATATTATTGCGTGAGAATTAAATAAAAATATTTTTAGAAATATTCTATCAATTCTGTCCTAGTCACAGAATTGGGCGACTTTTTTCTACGTACGTCCATTAATTCTGAAAATAATAATAATCTCAAACAATAACGACCCTTGAAGGGGCGTAGAGCTGCACATGGACATTTTCTTGGCATGTTCTTAGAGTCGTAGAATCGATTTTTAGAATATGTCTGTGGCTTATGACTTTTGTTGACGTTGCCCCGTTCTAACGATGTTGCAGACCACAAAATTAACGGTTCACGTTATTTATAAAACGATTTTAAATAATTTAATTGTTTTTCGATTTTGAAAATAACAGATTTTTACTGAAAATTCAGGCCACTAATTGTGCGTTTAAAACTATTAAACATTAAAGAAAAATTTTACTATTCATAATAATTTTATTTAACTTCAAAAATATTTTTTCTTATAAAAATACATGTGATTTGAGAAACAAAGTAATTATAATTTTTTAATATTAAAATAAATTTTATACTTTAAACTATTTATTTATCCTAAGGACAATAAATACTACTTCAAGTTAACATAAACATTTTTACACTGTCATCTAATTCAAAATTATTATGGATATGATTTTTAAAGTAGCTATTACGAAATTTTTAACTTTTATACTGACCTGATAATTTTTTATTAGACGAAGATATTATTATATTTTAATTACATTAAAAAGTTATATTTTCTTGAATGTCTATTATAAGAATAAGGAATTTAACTTTTAATTTTAGAGAAAAATGAATAATCTTAATAATTAAATAAAATATTAATATAATAACAATAATAAGAAAAAGGTAATGGTAAAACTATATTATTTTTCATTCATGCATTGTGTTTTACAACTCAAAGATATGTAAGTAGAAAATATAAATTATTGAGTACCAATGTTAACATTATCACCTACCCATATGCTGCAACATTAGTAAAATCAATTACGGAGTGATGTACCTGGTAGTTACCATTTTGACCACACAAATACTTGCGGGGTAGGAATCAAATGTTTTAAAAATACTTGGTAGTTACCATTTATCTAATTTGCGGATATTCATTTTTTTATCCCTTTTTCTTTTATTTTTAAATCATAATTTCTTTTTTTCCCTTTTTCTTATTTTTCCCCCTTACTCATGCGAGTATATGTTCATGAAAAACAGAGTCCTACTATTCTTTTGACCTAAGTAGGGCTTGTTTATTTTCCAATTTAAAAATCATTCTTATTTTTTAATGCAAAACACACGTTTTAATAAACAATATATAATTTAAATTAATTTATCACATATCTTAATTATACTTAATGATTCAAAGCCAAATTTATCAAAATTTAGGTTACTTAACTTTAACGTAAACTAACACTTTATCAATTAATCTAAAACAGGTTTGGATAATACTTGGGATTACTTAGTACAACTTGCGTATTAGATATTAAAATTAGCTTATTTTATAAAAAAAAATTCATTTATTCCTTCTCTTCTCACTCATTTATTCTATTAAACTTTATTTGGGTTTTCGTTTTTTCACTCTCACTCACCTTCCCTTTCCTTATTCTGATTCTTTTTATTGGTATTGTTAGACTCAATATTTTAGACACTTTTTTTTACCATATAAATTATTGTTGAACTTTTTAGTTTAGACTTTAGAAATGGTGATCACTATATATAAAACAAATTAGATAAATGAGATTTATGCAATTACGATCATATCTCCCGAGGATACGTGTCCTTATTATTATAATCTTTTCAACATGATACAAGCCGTGTCCTTTGGCCATGTTAATGGTTGTAAGTAATAAAAGAAAATTATTAGTCATAATTCCAAATCGCCAATCATATGTGGTGTTTGACCTTTTATTCATTCATTGAATTATGGATTTATAAAGACACTCTTTCCGTTCACATAAAGAAACCGATGCTTCCAATCTCTAGAAAATGGACACGGCCATAGCTTCTGGTTTCCTTCTCTTCTATACTCTTATCACCTTCTCTCCCTCTGTAGCATATACCTCCTTTCTCCCCAAGGCACTTGTTCTTCCTGTCACACGAGATTCTATCACTAGCCAATATGTTACATTACTTCACCAAAGGACTCCTCTTGTACCTATCAAACTAACATTAGATCTAAGTGGTCAATTCCTTTGGGTAGATTGTGAAAAGGGTTATGTTTCATCTACATACCACCCTGCTCACTGCCACACCCCTCAATGCAACATTACTGGATCCAAATCTTGTAGAAATTGTTTTCTGTCTAAGCCAGGATGCAACAATAACACATGTAACCTTTTTCCAAACAACATTTTCACTCACATCAATGAAGTTGGCGAGGTTGCACTTGATGTTGTTGCAATCCATTCAACTGATGGATCCAACCCAGGCAAGATGGTTACTGTGCCTAACTTTATCTTCACCTGTGGTAGCACAAATCTCTTGAAAGGCCTTGCTAGTGGAGTCAAGGGCATGGTAGGTCTTGGAAGGAACAATATTTCAGTCCCTTCCCTTTTTGCATCTGCTTTCAGCTTCCACACAAAGTTTGCAATTTGCTTGAGTTCTTCAACTACTTCTAGTGGTGTCTTGTTCTTTGGTGATGCCCCATATGTTTTCCTTCCAGGCATTGATGTTTCCAAATCTCTCTTCTATACCCCACTAGTCAAAAACCCAGATAACTCAGCATGGCCATTTTTCCATGGAAAACCAGCTTCAGAATACTTCATTAGAGTGAAAGGTATCAGGATCAACGAGAAACGAATCCCATTAAACACATCATTGTTGACCATAGGTGATGAGGGTGAGGGTGGGACAAAAATTAGCACTGTAAATCCTTACACAGTCATGGAAAGCTCTATCTACCATGCCTTTGTTGATGCATTTGCCAAAGCCCTTGCAGATGTTCCTAAAGTGAAGCCAGTAGCACCTTTTAAACTATGTTTCAACTCAAAGGGCTTGGGTAGTACAAGGGTTGGGCCTGGAGTGCCCCCAATTGAGTTTGTGTTGCAGGGAAAGGGGGTGTTGTGGAGGATCTTCGGGGCAAACTCTATGGTCCAAGTGAGTAACGAGGTTTCTTGTCTTGCTTTCGTGGATGGTGGTGTAGAGGTAACAACTTCCATTGTTATTGGTGCGTACCAACTAGAAGACAATATCTTGGAATTTGATTTGGCTAATTCAAGGCTTGGCTTCAGCTCCTCCCTGTTGTTCATACAAACTACTTGTGCAAACTTCAATTTCACATCTAGCACTTGATCAAAGGAAATGTTTTTTATCTTACTTCCTCGTTATGATTGTGTTGTGTGTGAATTCGTTTATGTTTATTTGTTTGCTAAGCACTATCTAAATTTGTGACAGTTTACAATGAAAATTATAAGTTCTAAACAAATAAATTCAAAAACAATATGAGGATTAGATTTTAGATCTTCTTAGATTCTTTTAAGTGTATTTTTTACATAACAAAAGATAAATGTTAAGCAAATACTGAATCGAGAATTATAAATAATAATCAAATAAAACTGAATTGAATGTGAAAGTTTTATAGAACATACTGAACAACTGTAAAATTACAATAATAAAATGTAGAATGAACTAAAAATAAAGAACAAAAACATAAATTTGCAAAAAGATAACGTACGACTCTTTACAGTGAACAACAATGACTGTGAGTTGTTCAGAGGGCAAGTGTACCCATCGAAAAGTAATAAAGGGTTCTTAAATTAAATTCCTGAAATATTGTCTCACAAGGATTGATTTCCAATTACTAAGAATTTTCTAATTTAATTGTTTAAGCTTCAAAAATATGAGATTAATTAAAAACAAGAATTTATAAAATCAATTATAAAACTAAGAGTAAGAAATACAATGCACGTCTTGGTTAAACTTATCGGAGAGGAACTTAGGGCATATGAGTTTTCTCATTCAATCTTTTATGGTATTTTTCTATTTAACTCTAAATCTAATTTCCTTATGATTACCAATCATTCATACAAATACTATTAATACCCAAAGGTCATGCAATATTAATATTTTTTTTTCTAAATTAATATCTCCAATAGTCATGCAAGACATCAATTTGAGAAAGCTTTAGGAGCCTACGAACTTGTTAATTTAATAACGATTAGAAGAAAAAGATTGATTTGGTCCACCTAATGCTTTGTCTCGTTTTACCCTATAGATTTTTTAATTAATAGAAAAACGATCGCCTAACGATATAATTAATTAGGATTAAGAAAGAAGCACAATAGGATAAAATCTAACTACAAAACGAAAATCAAATTTAGATTCAAACATCAAAATTTCATAAATTCATGAATAATAGTTCTCATAGCCCTAGCTATAGACTTAGTTACTCATGCTAAAGAAAAGAACTAAAACAATCATAAACAAATCCATAATCAAAAGAAATAGCAAACTAGAGTGTGAGATGTGTTTCCGGTCTTCAAATACGATCGCTCGAAGCTCCAAGTCTCGTCAAGCGTGTGCCAAGGATCCCATGCAAGAAAGACAAAATCAAATGTATTCTAGAGTCAAAGCCAAGATGTCAAAGACGATCCTTTTACGATGCCTGAGATCTCCCTTTTAATAGGATTTGAAAACCTTAAAGATTCTTCATAATTGGGCTTCCCGCAGATGAGCACGGCCATGCAAGGCCTTAAGCATGGTCGTGCATGGGCTCAAAGCACCCCCCGTGTTTATTGAATGGGTCTGGGCGTGCTGACTGCTGCGAAGCTCTAATCTTTCATCAATTTGGGCCCATAACGCACTTGAAATCCATTTGCGGTCTCTTTATACCAAAATACACAATTAATATATAAATTAGTGTAAAATCTAAATAAAATAAAGGTCAAATATGAATATATGGACTGTAAAAGAGAGCTTAATTACAGACTTATCATGAGTCTCTTGATAGCTGATGTCTGTTACGATGCAGAGTTTCAGCGTGCAAAAAGTTTGAGTGCAGGTGTATACTATAAAAAGTCATCCTCAGAAATGTCAAACTTCATAATATTTATAGGTAGTGTCCTTCAACAACTATCTTCCTTTTGCGAGCACTTTCTAATAAATGCTTTCTGTGCATGTTAGCCTAACTGCTGCTGCCCATTATTTATAATTGTTTATGATCATGCTAAAGATTATGACTTCTCAATAACCGTTGTTATCCATGTTTGTTTTTTAGTGTCTTTGACCTTCAATTGGTAGTAACTGTTGGTAATTGCTTCAAAGTTTGTGTGAACCTTGTGATTTTTTGTTATGTTTCTTAATTTCCTGAAGTTCACCTTGTACCTTGACCTTAGAGTAAATTTCTTGTTATATTTTGACAATTAGAAGAAATTTAAGAGCTCTTCAATCTTATAGACTTAATTTCACTTTCAGTTATTACTTTTTGACAAATTCTGAATCTTTAGTCTTTTTGACTTAGAATAATTTTACTCTATGTTTCTACTTTTTTTTACCAATTTTGACTCTCTTTGTTTTGGGGCTTAAAAAATATTTAAAATCTTCTCAAAATGTCATTTTTTTTAACAAAAAAGGAACTTTATTATGATCAAACTACTTGAAATGTAACCTTTTTCAATTAACACCAACAGCCACAAACATTCATTTATCCCGACAAATTTGTATACTCATCCTCTGTTGCAGTTAGTAATTGATAATGAATAAAAGAGGGCTAGCTTTAATTATCTAATTATACTAAATATTGTAAGTCATTTTATATCATTATGTTACACATTTTGCTTCGGGCGGATAAAAGGTTTTGTAGTGAACCAATCCAAACGAATAACCAGTAGAGAGAAATCAAAAGGGAAAATTTACATTTTTTTTATTTGTTTAGTAAAATACACTTGAGAGTTGAAGACAGTACAGTGTAAATTGAATTTCATCTTAAGATCCACTCGGCCAACCTGGCGGCACCATATGTGCCTTAATTTTTCCCGAAACCAAAAGTGCAAACTACACGTATTACCGATGGCAGCTTAAAGAGAAGCTGGATCTGAGCAACTTGCGTTGTGGAGCATAAGGGAGGAGCTAAAGCTTAGTATTGAAGTACTCAAGTCAAACTCCAAAACTCTATCCTCTAGTTGATACCCACCAATAACAACAGCAGTTTTTGCCTGTCTACCACCATCAACAAATGCCAAACAGACCACACCTTTTTCCACTTCAACCATCGAATTGTGGCCAAATATTTCAAAACTCTCTCCTCCAAACTGGCCTTCTATCACCAAATTGATAGTTGGCACAGCTTGTCTATCAGCTATGGTATTAGCATCGAAGCATGCAACAAATGGGTGCACGGATTTCACTCTCTTGATTTTTATAGCCTTTGCTGCCTTCACATAATCTTTAACAAAGGACTTGTAGATGGAATGATGTAACACGGTGTAAGGGCTCATGGTGCTAATTTTAGTACCCCCATTACCGTTCTCATCAACATTCAGAAGTGAAGTCTTAAACTTAACAGGTTTGTCATCAATATTGATTGAATTAACATGAATGAAGTATTCATCACTGGAAGAGCCAAATCCAGTGCGGGAAACTGAGATAGAAGAACTTGGTCTCCCACCAATGAAAATTTCTCCAATATTTGTCTTCTTTGAATAATAAGAAGAAGGTAAACAAAGAGTAAACTTAGGAGGAATGTTAAATGAAGATGAGACCTGAATTGGTAACGTAAGTGGTGTCCTTGCAAGGCCTAGAATCCCTTTGATGCCTTTGGCGAGACCAACTAGAAGTGGGGTGGTGAACCTATCAGAATCCGTGCAGCCAGAAACAAAGTTTCGAGGCACCTTGATTTGAGGCAAGAATAGGAAATCCTCACCCATGTCACCACTGAAAATGGTGTCAGCAAATGGGTTAACAACATCAAGGCCACAAGTGTTGTTGGTGCACCCTGGCTTACGAGGAAAACCATTGCAACCGATGCATGGTGAGCCTTGGGGGCATTTTGGGGAGTCACAACTGACAGGGTTGTAAGATGATGAGTTGTAATGACTATCACAATCGTACCATAGGAATTTCCCTGCAAGATCAATGGCAAGGTTCATGTTGTGTTGAGGAGTTCCGATGCCAATTGAAGTGTAGTATTGATGAGTGGCTGGATCTACCTTAATAGGAAGGGTGATAAAACCAGAACTGGGTAATCCATTTGATGATGGTAGAGAGGGTGAAACAGTGAAGAGGAATAGAAAGCATAGGAAGAAGTAGAAGAGAGAAGTAGCCATTGTCAACGTTAGTTAGTAATGAAAATTGTTTTAGTGTATTGAGTTCAGCTTGCAGAGTGTGCTTACTAATAGTTGCTGGACTCGCAGATTTGATTTGATTTGATTGATATATAAATAAAATAATTTCATACTAAAGATTCGTCGAAAGAAGATGGCTCCGCGTCATCCGCAGTTGCATGCCCCAAACTTCCACACGTCTTGCAAGTTGCCACTGCCACGAGCCTGCATTGACCAGTCATGCAGTCCCTATTTTATCATTCTTTTATGCACTTCTTCCACTTTGGCATATAAAGTAATGGCTTACATTTTCATATTTTTTCTTATAATAAATAGCTCATTTATTCATTATCAACTAAAAATGAAATAAATATAAAGTTTACATATTAACTTAATGATCATATTAAAATTTAATATGAGAGATTTATAATTGTATAACTTGGTTGTTAAGTTGTTGTCTTTTTTTAAAAATTGTGGGTAACTTTAAAAAGGTGGACCATACAGTTTCTATAGATGTACGCTGACCTTGGGCCTTAAAAGATAATGTTCTGAACTTCTTATCTTAAAATTTCTTATCATGATGAGTAGGCAACCCATTTGACACATGACACATTAGGCTCCGCTAGAGACAAAGTATAAGAAAATGATTCTTTCACGTTTTTTTAGGATATTAAATAGGAAAAAAATTTAAATAAAAAATAATAAATGAGGTAACATAAAAAATAAAATAAGAAATTAAAAATATATTTGTTCGTGTATTTATAAACACATAATAAAATTTTAAATAATATTTTTTATTAAAAATTATGAATTTTAATATATTAATAATATTGAATGTTATAATTTTTAATAAAAAATATAAATTTTATTTTTATTGTGTATTTTTAAACACAAATTAAAAATATTTAAAAAATGCTCCTTTGTTTTTTACACTTTAACATATATTTTACTGATTTTTAATATTATTTTACAATGTCGATAAATAAATATTTTTTTACAATTTTATCTTTAATTATTGATATATGATAAAAATAATAAATAAATAAAACATTATTTAGTATACACAAATAAAGAATATAATAAAGCAATTAAATATTTTCACAAAATTTAAAGTACTAATTGTTTGATAATATATATTTAAAATTTTAAACATTGAAGTAAACAAATGGAGTAAAATAATTGTAAATTATAATCCCACTTGCATACTCTACTGAAGCTCCACCCTCTCTTATCTCTTTCTTCAATGCAGTCTTTGTCGTAACGTCCAATGTAAAATGATCTGTACATTTTATCAAGTAGATCTACGTAACGTAACACTCACGCTTCCGTAACATATATTATACTGCATGCAGACCTCGTGCCTAAAATGAATGATGACTTCATTTTTAATTTGGGATGCCTTCGAAAATAAATAATTTCTTAAATACACACATTGACTTAGCTTGTGAAATTTATAAAAAAAATTACTGACATCAATAAATATTATATTTTTTCTGGAAAATAAGCAACAAAAGTTGTAGTAAATGTGTAGCTTTTAAAATATTAGATAAATTATGTGTTTATGTAAATAATTTAATTGTTTTGTTTTTTATGCTTATTTAAAAGTAAAAATGACATTAATTATTCATATATTCCACCAAACCTTTTCATTTTATTCAACAAACAAGTTTAAAATACCTTTATTCATGATTATATAAATGAAATAATTTTATAAATTAATTTGTGAGTGATTTGAAAATGAATCTGTCTATAATAATAACTAATATTTCATATTTATTTTATTTGAAAAATTATAAATTTATCCATAAGATTATGATCATGTAACTTTTATGTTTAAATATCTTTTGTACTATTGTAGAGTGAAAATATTTACAAAATATTAAATTATTAAATTTAAAAATATTCTCTACAGAGATTTCATAAAAGTAAGTAAGTGATAGAAAAGTCTTTGTTAATATAATTATGTTTTTTTATTAATTTTTTATATAATGTATGATATTGTTAGTATAAATTTATAATGTGTATATTAGTTTAATTTTTATTTTAAAAAATTATATCAACAAATAATGTTTTAGTGATTATTAAAGATATATAGAATTTATTAGGACATGTTCACTGCTCAAAAGGACCAAATATCCACTGGTGCCACCAATGGTGACACAATCTTTAATAATTTACTGAAGACTAGTAACATATTCTTTAATATATTTTTATTATTAATTAAAATTTATTTAAAATTATAAAAATTATGTGAATTTTATTTTTTTCTACTCTTAAGTTAATATTTTTTTCTTATATTTTTGTAGTGTTTAATAAATTTTAGTCAATAACATAGAGTGTATTAAAAAAATTGATAAAAAGGTACGTTACTAGCTTATTATCGGTAATCTTGACAAAATCTGGAACGAGGGGTTTGCCCATGCATCCATACTATATTTAACAAAGTGAAGCGATTAAAGGACCTAATAATTTTGGTTCTTTATTTGTCTTGGCACGCACCGATCTTCATTTTCCATATGAAACACTAATAAGGAGGATCACATTGATGAAGAAAACAAAATCACCTTGATTGAGTACAGATTAGAGGAGGGGTATAAAATAAACGGGGGGCTATCCAAAAAGAGCTACTTGGGCCTTGTAGTTGTAGGGCACGCAATGCAAGTTGTGTCGTAGCGAAGCCTTTAATCCTTGGAAAGAAAACTGAATTACAGGGACTGTTAGACCAAAAGAAGAAAAAGAAAAGAAATACAGGGACTCATGGTTGACCACAAAAATAATACCGGGACTGACAAAAAAAAAAAGTGCTAAAAACCTTAAATAACATCATTATTATTTGTTCTGAATCAGTCTATAAAAGCTTGAAACCTAAAGTTAATTTTCTTAGATTGTTAACGGCCTAATATGCAACTGGATTAGATTAAAGAATATATAAAACCTATTTAAGTACTAATATCTTTAATCCAAAATGCCTGTGCCCTGTTAGAAGATATCTGGTGACACTTCTATTGTGCCTTAATTATGAGCAATTGCATGGTACAAGTTTATTAACATCACTATACTCGATACACACACACACACTATCCATTGCACTTATTCTATTAGCACAAATGTTACCACAAGGATTGAATGCCTTTGCTTAAACACCTATCTCCTACACTGAACTTACAAATATTGCATTATCTCTTTAAGTAAAATTATTAAATAATATAATCATGAATATAACTCATGTAAATATATGTTGCTCATCTTTAGTGTTGATATTAGTTTAATTATCTTTATCTCGACAACCAGACAAGTGGGTAGTTCTTTTAAAATAAAAGTCAGGTTATCATTGCAGAGAGAGAAATCATTTTTATCTTTTTTCTAGTATTTCTAAAAATATAATGGAGTAAATAAATGGTTTAAAAGAAATTGAAAGATAATCTAGTGGACTACACTTAGAGATGGAAATAGGTCAAGTCAAGTCAGACTTTACTCTAAATAGGCCTGGCCTATAACATAATTATTAGACTTGAACTTGACCAATTACCTGTTAAAAGCTTTATTTTAGATCTGACTTGACCTGTTTAAGTGGTCTGGCCTGACCTGAAGCCTGTTAACAAAGCCGGTTACAAAAAAAAAATTAAATAAAAATATAAATATTTTATTATCAAATTAGTCTATATGTTTTTTAAATTTCTATCTATGTTATTAATAATTATTAAATAATTATAATAATATTTATATAATTTTTAAAATATTATTTAAGTATGAATTATAAATATTTTATATTAATAAAATTTATATTTATATTTTTCTTAATTTATTTTTAAAAATTATATAAATAGTAAATATTTTAGTTTTATTTTAGAAACATATTTTGTTTGTTTAAAGACATCTTATATTTAACAAATAAAGTTATAGTAAACACATAAAATTGATAAAAATAAAATAAAATTCATACAATTTTTGTTGAATCAATTAAAGAAAAATTATTATGTTTTAAAAAATAAATAAATTTAAACTTAATGCAATATATATATATATATATATATATATATAATGACAATAATAATAATTATTAAATTAAAAAAATAATTACAAAATATTTAATTTTATTTGTTTCATTAATTTATTATTTTAAATTAACAAATAAACATAAAATTAACTATATTATAACATTAACGTAATATAGAAAATATTAATGATACAATAAATTAAAATATATACTTATATATTACATATAAATTGATAAATTAACTAATAATTTAATTAAAACACGTGCAACTTATAAAAATATATACTATTATATAATTTATTTATAATTATATTGTTTGTTATATGGTCTTATTATATATATATATATATATATATATATATATATATATATATATTATAATAAATTTTTTATTTTATTTTTTTATTATTTTTTATAAACTTTTTTTTTTGAATAAAATATAATTTATATTTAAACAATATTTATTTATTATAAATATAAAAAATTATAACATACTATATTAATATAATAATTGAATATTAGTAATAATAAAATTAAAAATATGAAAATTTATTAAAAAAATTAATATTTTATTTTTAAATTTTAATTCATATATTCTTTTTTAGCTTGTTTAAATATAACAAATATAATAATTTATGATTAAATAAATTTAGTTTTAAACATGTGTAATTATGTATAAATATTTTTAGTTTCAAATATAATATAATTTTTATTTATTATAAATAAAAAATTATAACATAATATATTAATATAAAAATTCAATATTAATATTAATAAAATTAAGAATATAAAAATTAAATTAATATAATATTATTATTTTATTTTACATTCTAATCTTATTCGAAGACTTTACTGCTCTTCAACTTGTTCAAACAAATATAATAATTTATCTTATATTTATATTTAAAGTAACTATAGATGATAATAAAATAAGAATAAAAAATAAGTATGATAACAGTTTTGGCTCAAAGATATGTGGTTGTGTTAGGTTTGTTATTTATTGTAATGTAGTTAATACAATTAATTAAATTTTTTATTATAAATTTTATACCAATAAAATTGCTTAAGAAAAGATAAAAAAATAAAATAAAATTTATATAATATTAAAAATTTATAATGATTATTGTTATTGAATAATATTAATAAAAATATAATTGTTTTATTATCAAATTAGTTTACATATATTCAAATTTTTATTTGTGTTATTGATAATTATTAAATAATTATAATAATTTTTATACAATTTTATAAATAATTTTTAAAATATTATTTGAGCATTAATTATAAATATTTTTATATTATAAAATATTTTTATTTTTATTTTTCTCAATTTAATTTTATAAAATTATTAAATTATTACACATTTTAATTATTTTTTATGATAATTATATTTTATTTGTATAAAGACATCTTATATTCAATAAATAAAATCACAGTAAACACATAAAATTGATAACAAAAAATAATACTTACAAAATTTATTGAATCAGCTAAAAAAATTATTATATTTTAAAAAGTAAATAAATATCGTTATTATAAAAATTACAAATAAAAAATATTTATATTATAAAATTTATATATGCAGAAAAATAACATATGAGTATTGAAAGAATTATTAAAATTTATATTTAAATTAAAATAACTTATATTTCTAAATTTTTATCTTAATTAAAAAATATGTAATAAAACTTAATATAAAATAACAACAATAATAACTATTAAATTAAAAATAATAATTACAAAACATTAATTTTATTTGTTTCATTAATTTATTATTTTAAATTAACAAATAAACATAAAATTAACTACACTATAACATTAATGTAATATAGAAAATATTACTGATACAATAAATTAAAATATATATTTATATATTACATATAAATTTATAAATTAACTAATAATTTAATTAAAACACGTGCAAATTATAAAAATATATATTATTATATAATTTATTTATAATTATATTATTTATATTATTTGCTACATGGCCTAATTATATATATATATATATATATATATATTATAATAAGTTTTTATTTTATTTTGTTATCATTTTTTTATAAATTTTTACTTTCAAATAAAATATAATTCAGATTTAAGTAATTTTTATATATTATAAATAAAAATAATTATAACGTAATATATTAATATAATAATTAAATAATAATAATAAAATTAAGAGTATAAAAAATATGTTAATATAATTTTATTATTTTATTTTTAAATTTTATTTTGTTTAGTTTTGATTACGTCTTATTTCTGTTCAAAAACTTAACTATTCTTTAAATTATTTAAATATAATAAATATAATAATTTATTATTAAATAAATTTATTATTTAAAAAGTGTAATCATGTATAAATATTTTTAATTTTTAATATAATATAATTTCTGTTTAGTATAATTATAAATAAATAAAATTATAACATAATATATTAATTTAATAATAACAGAATTAATAATATAAAAAATATATTATTAAATAACTATTATTTAAATATATTTTGACAGTTCTATTTTTAAATTATATATATATATATATATATATATATTTATACAGACCGGCCTGTTAGGCTTAACAGGCTTTATAAATAGCTCAGACCTAACTTATTTACTTAAACAAGCTTTAAAAAAGCTTAAGTCTAATTTGTTTATTAAAAAGGTCAGGTCAGGCCAAGCCTAAACCAAATCAGGTCAGGCTACAGGCCCCTGTCAGGTGACCTGATGTGGCTTGCCTTGTTTCCATCCCTATTACACCACTGCAAAAATTAAATGATATATGGTTCTTTTTTATACATAAAGATTTAATTATATGTTTTTAAAATAGATTATCATGTTCTTCACTATTGGCCTGGCGCGGTTTGTAAAGCACTAATTATGATTTGAACGCATCACTACCAAAAAAGTTTGTAATTTATTAATAATTGAATATTTGGTTAAATTTTATTAGTATTATTTTTAAAAAATAAATTATTAATTAAATATTATAAATTTGTATCAACAATATAATATAAATAATTTCATTAATAATAATAATAATATATATGATAAATAATCATAAATATTAGTACATTAAAGTATTAGTTAATATAGACTTTTAATTTTTTTATTACTACTTTAATTTTTATTAAATGAAGATTATATTTATAAATTTTATTTTAATTTACATTTTTTTCATTTGTTAATGAAATTTTCTATTGATATAATTCTTTTAGTAGATAGAGAAGCCTAGATAGAAACTGGTCCACTACTTGCATGCCGATTGATATGGGAATAGATAATTTTTGCATAGATATTAAAAGATTAGTATTGTCAGCATATACAAAAGATTAGAAGATTTGAATCCAAACTCATATTTGTGTGAATAATAATTTTAATGTTCGTATTCATGTATAATTGTACCTATATATCTGAACCTGACATGAAATATATTTTCTTTTATTATTTTTTTACGAATTAATAAAATAGCAACATTGCGTACTAATTAATTTGTAGTATTTTAGGGTATCCTAGCTTCAACAAACTTCCATAAGTACCACACCTAGAGGCAAGTTTTTGTCACTGCTTCCCAAGAGCAGAAACATATAAATCATTTAATTTAATGATAAAGTAAAACAATGAAACTTTTTTATTTGGGCGTGGGAAACAACCAATCTTACACTGCTTATGTAGTTATATACCAATTTCGCCCATCTTCACAAACCTGCATTTCAGCGAGAGTACTATATCAACATGCTTTTTGCAAACCAACTTTAAATAATGAGGGAAAGACAAGGAAGAGAATCCAAGGACAAATCCCAGCCACGTGATTTCTTTAAAATGGCTTTAAAGTAAAATACTAGTTCAGAACAAGTCACGACAAAATAAACTTCATTACATGATCTTTTATATCAACGTTCACAACACATCTCAAATTTTGAAGTCATTTAAAAGAAAATGTACTTCATCAATTTTCAGTCAATGACAAATTAGCCTTTATTAACTTGAGACGGAAAGAGAAGTGAAAGGATGAGAGTTAGACTCATCATCAAACCAAGTTGAAAGGGACAGAAATTAGCTTCTAAAGCTGGAGCATCTTGCATTATGAAGGAGGAGAGAGGAGCTAAAGCTTAGTTTGGAGGAAACTAAATCGAACTCCAAAAGGTTCTCTTCCAACACATGTCCACCAATAACAACCGATGTTCTTGACTCTTTACCTCCATCCACAAATCCAAGACATGCTACTTTTTTGTTCACCAATACCATTGAATTCCCACCATAAATTGTCCACTGCACTCCACCTTCCAACTCCAACTCAATAGTGGGCACATCTAGTCCAGTAATGGTCCTACCAATGGTGCTGACTTCAAAACATGCTCCAAATGGTGCCACTGATGCCACTCTTTTTATTTTTTTATCGGATGCTTTCTTCACAAAACCTCTAACAAGGGGTTTGTATATGGCACTATGTAACACGGTGAAGGGATTCATGGTGCTAATTTTGGTTCCACCTTGTCCCTTATTGTCAACGGAAAGAAGGGAAGACTTCACGTTGAGAATTTCACCACCAACCTTGATTGATTTCGCAACTATGAAGTATTCATAAGAGGGGTCACCTTCACCAAAGATTGGAGCCGTGCTAAAGGGGTTAACAATGAGAGGGGTGGTGAGCATAAGAGAAACATTTTGATGAGGAATAGAAATATGAGGTGCCCCACCAATGAAGAGGTTGCCAAGTCCTTTCTTGTTTGAAGATGGTAAGCAAAGTGCAAACTTGCGAGGAAGGTTGTGAGATAATGTGAGCTGCGTTTGTAATGCAAGTTGTGTCCTTGCAAGGCCTAATATACCTTTACCAGATTCAGGTAAGCCTCTTAGAAGTGCTTCATCAGTAAATCCATCTGAGCCAGTGCACCCGGAAAGTAGACCAAACACTTTGGTATTTGATAGGAACAACACATCCTCACCCGTGTCCCCAGTGAAAATAGAGTTAGCAAAGGGGTTGACAATGAAGGCTCCGCATGTGTCATTTGAGCAGCCTGGCCTAAAAGGGCCGTTACAGCCACTGCATCCACTACCTCCGGGGCACCTTTTGGATGCACAATGGATAGGATGGTATGTCGTAGAATTGTAGCGATCATTGCAGTCATACCATAGGAATGGTCCTCCAAGATCAATGACTAGATCCATGTCGTGTCGAGGGTTTCCTATGCCAACTGAAGTATAAAACAGATTGGTTTTTGGGTCTTTCTCAATGGGTAAGATAAAGGGTCGGAGTTGGGTTTTGCCCTTTGATTGTGATAAGATGGGAATTGAGAGAAGGGCTATTGTGAAGAGGAAGAAATTGACGGCAAATGAAGCCATTTTGAGGTCAAGCTAAGGCTATTGCTTTGTACGGGCAAGGAATGCTGCATGCAGAATGTCCCTTATATAGAAGTGGATATCAACCCTGTAACAATAATAATATTTTTATTCTCCATTTCTCTTATATTCTATTTTTATTTATCAACTATTATAATTTTATATAATTAATCCTAACATCCAAAATGTGAGTGTGAATGCATAGTTTTTCTTTTTTCTTTTTGTCTTTTGGCATTACTCGTCACTTTTTTTTCTCACATGCAAATTTCATTCCTTGAATAAATTTAAAAATATCATCAGTCATAAAGAAAAGTATGGTATATGATAAATTATTTGTTTAAGTTTAGTTTAATTGTTTAATGTTTAATAGATCTGGAATTCTGGATCTGGTATAATATTGAGCCACATTGACCATGGTTTTCACTGTCGCGTGAAAATGTTGAAAATTGATTATTTTGAAACTCCCGAACACTCCCAACATCGTGTCTGCTGTGCTGTGCTGGCTAGTTGCTGAGACGAAGTGATAAATTCTAATATAATTCTATTTACCAACTTTTGAGTGGTCCAAATCAGTGAAAGAACATGTATTAAAAATATATAGTAAATAAATTTATTCTCTATTGCTGCTGTTACCAAACTTTCAGAACTTTTCTACGTGTAGCATATTTTAATAAATTTAATATTCAAGAGGTTTTGTATACAATGTTTTTCCGGAGGGATTATATTAGTTTCTTTTTTGGTGTAGATTAGAGCTTATCCATATTTTTATCAAAAAAAATTTAGAATGAGGGGAATTCTTTTCATTTTATGGAAAGCGTGAATCATTATCATTCGCGGGAAATATATTCGAATTCGATTATTGCCATTGATGGAAGATCAATAAAATAAGATAATTTACGTTAATTGGTAGTTATTATATATCTTTATATTTATTATTTGAGAAAATAAGGTTGAAGGGCCTCGTGCTTGCAATACCCTAAAAGTTTGTTTCTATCACATATTAAAGTATTTAATAGTAAAAAGAAATGTAAATATATATAACCTTTTTTGTTGTCATGAAATATATATAGTCTTTAAACAAAAAAGATGTGCAAAATGCAGCACCATGATAGGAGCTCGGTATATGGCCCTTATTGAGAAACAAACCTGAAAACTATATTTAACCATTATTATTATTATTATTATTATTATCGTTTTATCAACTTAAATATGAGTAATGTTGCATCTTCTTATAATTTTTTTTTATTAATTCTCTTTATGCTTTTCATAATAAAAATGTTAACTAAAATACATACGTTTAATATGTCAAAAAATATAAATAATAATAATAATAATACCTTTTAATAAATAGTAAGATTAATAAGAAGTTACCAATGGATTTGATTATCCAATAAGTATACTTAAGCATTACATATTTGTATAATCTTATATTTAATAATAAATGTTTATTTATTAAAAATAATAAATAAATAAGATATTAACGAACATAATAACAAGCATAATAGAAAAATAAATATTTTTTTATAAAATTTAAAATACTAATTTTTAATGTTAAAAATTAAAAGGAGTATAATCAGTCTTTAAATCTCGCCATGCTTTAGTCATGGAATTAGGTATTTTTTTTACTGCTTTAGATTATAATTTACACCTTTCGTTTGTTAAAAGGATAAATAATTTTTAGATGTGTGTCGTTAAGTACATGTTTAAAAAAATAAAAAAATATATTATTATTAAAATTTATAATATTTAATATTAATAATACATTAAATTATATAACATTTTGTTATTTTTTATAAAAAATTATGTATAATAAAATTTTATTATATATATTTTAATACACGATTAAAAGAAATAAAAAAAGGCTTTTTGTTCATTTCCTAGTTTCAATAAAAAGGGATATATAAAGCAAGTAGTTATTGAAAAAATTAACTTCGTATTTTTAATGTGTGGATTAATCACAATTTTAATTATTTTTAATTACTATTTCAGGTAATCTAAAAATATTTTGAAAAATGAGAAAAAGAAAATTATGAATTTTTGGAAAGATTTATATTGAGATTACATATTCATGTTTGCACTTAAATGATACTAAATTCATGTAACAAAAGAAAATTATACTATATTATCTATATATCACCACCTGAGCCAATCTTATTTGCATACAATTCATATAGTATAATTCTCTTTTATTGATATTCACACGTAGTATTCACGTTTAATCATCCCTCACTTGCGTAATCCTATTTGAATATGTATATCTACGAAGCTTTCGAATCATAATAATAACATTCACATGTACACGAGGGGATATAACGTAGTCCATATTTAAGTTTATTCACTTTACATTTAACGTAATTTATTTAAGTATTCACAACTGACTTTTTCAAAAATGCAGTGTTTTTTCTTTGATGAGTTTGTCTTCGAATTAGGTTACGCCTCTTCTTCAGAGTTTTAAAATGTATTTGGATTTAATTTAATATTTATTTAATAAATTGTGTATAAAAAAATATATCATGATTAAATTATAATTTTTTATTATAAATTAAAAAATTAATTTAATAAATTATATAAAAAATATTAAAATTTATAAATTACTTTTGTAAACCGTTTAAAACACTCTCTTTAATGGCTTGTGATGAATGATAAAAGATCAGGTGTTGGGTTCATTTTATTTTATTTTTTCGAAGTTTTTTCGTTATGACGTGCCATTCTGTTTTGTTAATGCTCAAAAGTTCAATGTACTGCACCGATATTCATTAAGTTCCCAAGTGGGAATTATTTGCTATTATATATTATTATTTATTGTTGAAAAGTTCGATGTACTGCACCGATATCCGTAAAGTTCACATGTGTGAATTATTTGCTACTACTATACATTATTATTCATTGTTCTTGTGTTTGTTTTATAAAAAAAGAATCTTCCATACTATAAGATAAATAATAGATAATAAGAATGTTTTTATGTGAAAATAAAGAAAAATTTATTTTAATTTTTTTAGCTTAATAATAGATATCTTATTCATATATTTTATTATAAATAATTAAAATTAAAGTATATAAAATATTTAATTTCTTAAAACTTATATAATATATTCGATCATAATCTATAATTATATAATTAATATTTATTGTATTCATTCTTGTATAAGAAATATTTTAATATTAAGATATAAAGTTTCATATGTGTGTAGGTTAGCAACACATTAAAATGTACACATGTAAGAGAGCTTTACATAGATATTAATGTCTCACAAACCTGTGCATATTTACTTTATTCTCCCTTACACTTGCATAGACCTATATTAAAATCCCAAGAGCTTAAAAAAACATTGCAAGTTGGCTATGGCAAGTGGGTATTTCTTTTAATTTCTTTATGACGTGCCATTTCTTTTGTTAACGTTGTAAAAGTTTAGTGGACTACACGGATACCACTGCAGCTAGGATTATTGTTTTTAGTGAGAAAGTCAATTTTTATTATACAATTATACGTAAATAACTTCAACTATTTTATTGCTTTTCACGTGTAAAAGAGTATAACAATTTGTTCTCTTTGAAAATTAATCAAATAAAATTGGTAGAGAATGATGTTTTATTTTTTTTGTTAACAAATAAATAAAAATTTATTGATTAGTATTACTAAAGTCTGAAATCCATGCATAATTTTTTAATAACATTTTCTATTTTTTAAGTAAAAGGTAGCATACATAAAAAATTTGAAAGCTTTAAATTTTATTACAAATCATAACTTAATGTAAATTATAAACCACGTATTAAAATAGTCTCAACTTTTAAAATAAAATATAGGTACATTCTATAAAATATATTTCAAGTCAGTGGATGGAATAAAAAAATATAAATTTATGATTTTTGCAATTCAATTTATTTTAATTTGATTGTAAATATAATCACAAAAAAAACTAAACTAAATATATAACAAAATATGATTTTTATTTTTGAGTTTTTAATAATTTAATTTTTATAATTAATTTAATGGTTTAGAATGATTTCAATCAAAATTTGATTTTTTTTTTCTCACAAATAGGGCTTAAAAAGCTCAAAACACAAACAAACTAGATTAAGAATCTAAAAACCCAAATACCTAAAGAGTCTAATCTTAAAAATGGCACTAAAATATGAGATACTTCGTCAAAGCAAATTAAAGGTAACTCACTCAGCACTAAGTTTAGCTAACCAATCAGTACTTTGATTGGCTTCTCTTAAGATATAGTTAAATTTAATAAACTTAATCTTATTAATTATAAGAGAGAGAGTCTCTTTAGAATCACATTCTATCCATATTAATTGAATTTTCTTGGATATGATAAGTTAAAGACCTCCAAACCTCAGTAGTTAGGGAAAGCACAATTCTGGAGCTTTGTGAAATAATAAGTTTTCATAGTTGTTTTGATTGAGTCCTCCACAGCTAATCATCCTAGTAGCTTGAAAAACAGCTTCATCAACATCGAATTTTAGTTACAGAATTATAAGAGAATGTCATCGGTGGGTCGTTTAGTCTCCAACCAACCAAATCTCACCTTTTTATTAATCCTGCAATAGAAAATGAGATAGTCAAGATCATATTGTATTTTATGATGAAGAGACTCACTGTTTAGAGGGGAGTTCTGAAAAATCTCCCTATTCCTGTTATTCAACAAGTTCCAAATGACTATTTCAAACAATAAACTCCAATAAGGATGTAAAGGAAAACTAGCTTTGGACAAATTAAATTTTAGCCAACTAGCCAACCCTTTACCAAAAAATAAAACCCAACAGTCAAGGAGAAGAAATTGATTTCAAATTTGCCTAGCAAACTAGTAGTCCTTGAGGACATGCATAATAGTTTCAACAGCAATTTTACACCTGAAACAAATAAAAGAGTTAATAATTTCACAATTATATAGTTCATCATTAGCAAGGAGTCTACCATGAACTATTTTCCATAGGAAAAAAATAATTTTTGGGGGCCTTGCCCAACTCTAGACAAGGTTAAAGAGATTATTGAT